AGTGCTCACTCGGAATTGGGTGAGAGAGCTAGCTTAGAATTGAGTGAGAATGCTCGCTCGGAATTGGGTGAGAGCGCCAGCTCAGAATTGAGCGAGAGAAGTAGCTCAGAATTGATTGAGGGTGCCAGCTCAGAATTGATCGATAGTGCTAGCTCAGAATTGATCGATAGTGCCAGCTCAGAATTGATTGAGAGCTCTCGCTCTTGCTGGAGCTCACTCTCAAGAATTGGTGCCATCGTTGGGTCTTCCTGCTCAACTCCAATTGAGAGATCCTTCCACGCCTGGCTATTAAGCCAGTTAATATGAGAGCTCCTATCTCGGAATAGTAGCTCAGCTGGTGCACATCCAATTGTCGAGTGGATTTGAGTATTCATTGCAAGCATAACCTCAAGTAGCCCATCCTTCCACTCCATAGATCCATGATCCATTTTCCATGCTCGTAGCTTTGCTTCAACAACCCCATTGGCTTGCTCAACTAGGCCTTGTGTCTGTGGTGACCGTGGCGCTCCATTTATCACTTGAATTCCATACTTGCGTAGTAGGATAAGTAGGGCTCCCTTGAATTCCTTTCCGTTATCAGCTTGCATAATCTTTGGAGGTAAGAAAGCTGCGATAAATTGAGCAAAGCAGTCTGCAATTGGCCCTGCGTGCTTGCTCTTTAATGGGTATAGCTGTGTATACTTTGAGAAATGATCCTTTATATGCAGAATCCATTTATATTGCCCTGAAGGCTCATGGCGCATATCAATTAGATCAATTTGAACCCGTTCCCACGCTTGCCCACTTATAATAGGGACTAATGGAGCTTTTGTAGTAGATGGACGATTTAGAGTACAGTTCTTACACCGCTTTATAATGAACTCTACTTCTTCTCTCTTTAGTCCATAGAACTTTTGTTGTATGATATTCCATGTTTTTGTACGGCCTGCGTGTAGGAGTTTGTAATGTTGGGTGCACCAGATATGAGAATCTAGCCACCCAAGGAAGGGATGAATTTACTAAGACAACACACTGTCTTAGGAAACAGAGCCAAAGGGTTGTAGCTTAGACTATTCCACAACGCAGCAATCAGGTGTATGATGTGGTGAAGTGGTTTAGACAAGTTGCAACAAATGTGGAGTCTGAGAACTCAGGGGTAAGTCAGAGGTTAGCACCTCACTGACTTTTCAAAAACAGAGAATAACAAGATCAATGCTTGGAAGCTTGGAAAAGACGTAGAAGTATGTGCTAGTCGATTTACTGTATTGTCTGCTTGCCCTTTCTTAAGGAAAGGGCAATCCTATTTATGCCAAAGGAGTGTAGTTCTCTCATTTTCCATGACTTTCCATGACTAACCAGGCTTGGTAAATGTATTAGAAATCAAGTGCGACCCACAACTAGCTTGATAATCATGTAGTGAACGTAAGAGAATCCCATAGAACCATCTCTTGGGTTCCTAGCCTATAGGAAGTGAAAAGGAGGTCCAAGGTCAGAGTACCTATAGACAAATTATGTCATAACTTAACCAATCTTGTGGGTAACTAAGGAGCGATGACGTGTAATGAATCATAGAGGGTTGTAGAAGCTTCTAGAGCTATCGTTCATGTTCCTAGGCCTCTAGTTGGTAGAGATATGCCATGTGGTAGTATTGGCCCACCCCCTTAAGGAGGAGATTTTCTTAATAACTTGTTCAATGAGTGTTCAAATGATATGCGGTGATGTATGTAGCATAAACAGATGTAGTAGAAGAGTTTGCAGCAATCGTTGAGTAGTATTGCTTCTGTTGTTGGTGTGATAAGCCAAGATATGTATGGTGACTTGTAGGTTTGAGGAGGAGATTTCTAAGTTTGCTCTTGAGTTTGATAGCAAACTGAGTGCAACGAATGTCAGTATGACAGAGTTGTAGGTGTTCATTGATAATAGTATCAAATGCATCGCTCTCAAGAATTACACATCGTGGGTTTTGAAACCTAGTAGTAGGCTTATAGTAGAGCTTATTATGTAGAAGCATAAACTCTGTTTGCGCACGATGCTTAAGTCGTGATTCAATAGGATTTGCAGGTTTCATCGATGGGTTCTGAAGATAGAGGAGTAATTGACGGTATTTTAAGTAGTCTATCCGCTCTCTATTACTATAGCTAAAGCTATGAATATAGGTTTGAAAAGCAGTGCGCACATCCTGAGGAAATGGATTAATCTGTGCAATAGTAGGGTCTTCCATATTGATGAAGTTGATATAACGTGCATGTATAACGAAAGTGCCAAACAAGCGAAAGTGCCAAAATATCGCGACTACCCCATAAGAATTGCGATAAATCCACCACAACAATATAAATTAATTGAAACTACTCGGAGTCCTCTTCCTCAGAGGTGTCTATTACAATCTGACACGTGCGCGCATTGTGCCCAGTCTCACCACACTTGCCACAGCGACGGGCACGGGTTTCTTCCCTTGGCTTCCGACCACGGCTTGCCCTTATTTCCTGCTCTACCTGCTGCACAACATCCCTCTCATCCTGTAGCTCTTGCGCCCCTTGTTGACTAAGTGATCCTCCTTGCTGTAGTCGTGTTTTCCTAGCTCTCCGGCGCTTGCTTAGTACTTCATTTGCCTGTCGTAGGTTTTGGTTCTCTCCCTTTAGCAGTGCTAATTGATGCATTATTTGCGATGCACCCTTTGTAAACTGGTCAACAGCTGCATAGATTGAGGTTGGAGAGCTATTTTGATGGCGTGAAATCCGAGTTTTAATAAATGTAGACTGTGACATAGCTTCAATTGGGTTATTTGGTGTCTGAGAAACCCATGGTTGAGCGGTGTTTGGGTGAGAGGTTGGAGGTGTTGGCGTCTTAAACCTAAGGTCAAGTGTAGATATTACACTCTCAGGGCTAAATGGAAGAAGCCCAGCACCTCGGAACCCTCCCTGAATATTGCTTTCTGTCATTGCAATGTTAAATGCAGCATGGAAGGCAGGAAAGAAGTCATCCTTAGTAATGTGAATAATATGAGCCCGCATCATATCTTCAATTTGCCGACCGTAAGCTCTCTTTAATGGGCCAAAACAGCCAACATCAAGTGGTTGGAGTATATGGGAAGAGTGAGCAGGCATACAAAGCGTAATAATGTTGTGTTCTTTGCAGTACTCCTCAAACTTGTCTGAGTGGTGGCTCTCATGACCATCAAGGACTAACAAGCGATAACCACCAACACTCCGGGGCTTTGTGTGCTTCTCAAAATGCTGAATCCAATCCATACCTCTCTCGTTTGTAGTCCAGCCATTTGCAGTAACAGCGATTACCCAATCTGCTGGAAATCCGCTATTCTCATACCAAGATGCAAGGTGGTTTTTACCTGCCACAATGACAAATGGCGGCACTGCCCAACCTTGAGAACTAACGCCTTGGATTACTGTAACCCATTCCCGATTGCCAGGCTGCACCTTTTTTGCCTTTGCCCGCCCATCTGAGCTCGTTACTACCGTTGCGCTTGAGATGACGCCCATCATTAGCCCAGTCTCATCAAAGTTGTAGATATCTGCATTGTTGATGCCATACTTTAGAATTGTGTTCCATACAAGCTCAAACCAGCCACGAATGACTTCTGGATCTTTGCACTTAGCCCTCTGGTAGTCGTATTTTCGCTGGAAGCGTGTCCGGAGCTCTACATGGCGCTTAACAAAGTTTGAAGCCCAACGTGACCCGACGCGTGGCGCGTCGCGTGTTGCAAGTAGTCGATTTGCCATATCTTCAACAATAGACAACTGAGGAGGGAACCCTTTAGCAGCTAAGTCAAGTATATACTGAACAAGAACTGATTCCTCTAGGTTACTTAATTTCCGTAAGTTGGCTTGGATATCGCGTCGTGAAGGTACACCTTGTAAACGGTGACGTAGCTTGCGGTGGTCTACGGAATAGATCCTAGCTGCAACTCGAAGGCGCAAATTTGGGTCGCTTTGCATAGCTTGGATAGCTAGCACTAATTTGCTTTCATCATTTTTATGGCGCATGTTTTGTTGTGGAGGAATTTAACATTTAGTTGGGGGGGTTGGTCACCGCATGATTTTGGCACTTTCGCTTGTTTGGCACTTTCGTTATACATGCACGTTAATAGATCTATCTACAATATCTATACTATATTACCCCGCATAGGTTGGGCATCATTCGCGGTTGGGCCGGCCCATTCGCGAATAGGCCGGCCCGCTCGCGGAGGTTCATATTCGTGGTTGGGCTGGCCCATTCGCGAATATGAATTATTCGCGACTGGGCCGGAACACATATAACCCACGCATTCCAGAAGGCAGGAATCTGGCCAATAAGCTGTGATATAGCTATTATGAAGTTTCGTACCTATTCAAAGCCTACGCATAGGCCTACTACACCACCTACCCTACCACTACGCTAATTGACCCTTAAGCCCTCTACTTTTAAGGACTCAGAACAGGGGCTACAGCGGTGGAAAACCAAGCTTACGGGGCTTCTTAGTAGCCCCTCACAAAAGAGCTACAATAATTAGGCTACTAGCACTAGAGATATTAGCCTCAGCCAGCTTCAGCAGCTAGATCTACAGGCTCTACAGCAGCAGGTTAAAGAGCAGAAAAAGGGGAGGGGTAGGAGCCGGGCCCGGCTTCAGGTTGGGGGTGAGCTTAATGCTGACCGAGCTCACGAGCTTCGGGCTGCCAAAGCTGAGCCCACAGCCCAGAAAGCCCAGGCGAAGGAAGCCCGAGTAGCCCAGCAAGCTGCTAACCAGGCCCGTAAGCAGCTAGCTGGGGTGGCGGTTGAGGCGCGGAAACAGGAGCGTCTCCGGAAGAAGAGGGTAAAAGCTCATATTCGAGCTGGCAACCCAATTCCTCCGGAGGACTGGGACCCAATTCTCGACCCAGAAGCTGGCTCTAAGCCCGAGCCTGGGTTCGAACCAGGCTTTGAGTTCGAGTAGGATGGGAAATGGGATGGGAAATGAGAGTGAGTGAGAGTAGAAGTGATAATTTTCGAAAATAATTTATCCATGTACCTTTCTATACAATTTACTATGTAAAGATACCTACGATATTTGGTGGTCGTGTACGCATATCGCTTCCGCATCCTTCTGGCGTACGCATATCGCTTCCACCCACGACTATACATCAACGGGCACCGCAGTCAGCGAAGCTTCTAATGATCTTTCCCATTCCATGCTGGTATCTGCCGCTCAAAACCAAACCCTAATATTTCCCTCTCCATGAACGCCTACTCGTACCCCTTAACAACACACGTATCACCCATCCATCCCCTTGCCCAAATCCTCCCATCATGTTTTCATCCTTATCTGCGGTTACTTTGTCCTCCATTAGCTCTTGCCTCTTGATCTAACTCCAGAAAAATACGCTAGTGTCTCTCCGTCGCGTGTTATGAGCATTTACCTCTTCTTGATGGTCGGCCTGGGCTTGCATTCGTCGTTGACGATCTGGTGCATCATGACCTTGTTCGGGTACTGCGGTGTGTTCTGCGAGTAGCCCTTGCTCCAGTCGTAGCTGACGGCGTAGGCAAAGACGGTACCGGTGTGGTTGAAGCCTGTGGTGGTGATGGAGCCTCCGCTAGTGGGGTAACCCTTGAGACGGTGCTTAGCATCCTTGTCCCAGAAGTGGAATGTGCCGTCGGAACCAGCTGTGCTGAAGGTGCCGTGGATGGGGTGGAAGGAGATTGCATTGACGGCGTATACGTTGGTTATGTTCCCTTGCGGTGGGTCACGGTGGCATTTGAATGAGAAGTTGAGGCTATAAATGCTGTTAGTAGGTAACGGAACGGGGGTGGCGATTGTGACGGACCTGGCATCCTTCTCCTCGACATACTGCATGGCACATCTGCCCTCGATACTGCCAACTCCAAAGCCCTGGGCATCCTTGAAGCATGCCACAACTCTTGTCTGCCACTTGAGCGGACTCTGCAGTGTCTTGTAGAACTCCGTCGGCTTGGTGAGGTTGACAACGTTGATATATCGGTCGGCCGTGCCAATAACGAGCAGGTTATCCTTCACATCCATTGTGTACACTCTCTCCTGGCAGTTGATCGTGGCAACCGCATTCGCCGTTCGCAGATCCCAGTATTTGACAGTCTTATCCCACGAACCCGTCACCAGCATAGGAGCCGCCGAACCCGGCGCATCGAAGAACCTCACACACCTGATAGGCGCATCGTGAACAGCGACCTGTGTGGCGGTAGTCCCTCCCGATCCCAAGTCGAGCATACGAGCAGCCTTGTCCGCTCCACCACCGCAAACTTTCGTACCATCCTGCCAGAAAGATTAGCTTGGGAATATACTACAATTCACAATAACCACATACCTTCGACCAGTCGCAGCTCAGCACCGGGCCCTCATGCTCAAACAGAGCCTTTCCCTCGCCTCCCTGCGCGTTGACCTCATAGATGCGGACCTTCTTGTCCCATGACGCCACGGCCAAATGGTCGGATTGCGGTGAGAACGAGATGTGCGAGATGCTATCCTCCGGGCCGTTGTTCAGCTGAATATCCTTCGAAAGATCGCCCAGCGTATTCGCCGCGGTCGCGGACCCCGATCCGAATAATCCAGCCATTTTGTGCTGCTGCTGTGCTCGCGGTGCGCCTTCGTGAAGCTAGCTTGAGCTTGCCTGCCTGGCTATTCGAAAGTGTCGTCTACACGGGAACTTCGATCTGATCAAGAGTCAAAATAATCACCTGCGATTCGTGTAAACTGTAAAGTTGCTTGCTCCCCTCTTCGTCACGGCGGCGAGAGAGCTTGTCTCAAGAAAAGGCAGCAGTACCTCTCGATAGCACTTTATCAACAACGCGCCTCGCTAAAACCACTACTGCCTGTCTGCCTGGGGCCAAAACTCCCGCACTAGCGCGAACCCGCAGACTACAAAAAAATAAACTTTCTCCTGCACCAACCGTCTTCCCTCTCCAACTCCTCGTTCAAAGGATCGCAGTCGAAGCACACAAACGGAGCAGACACACTACGTTGTCTCTCAGCCCATCCATAGGCTAGTCGATGCTTTGGGAGAAAGTCCCCGGACGACCTTTTCTACACTCGTGAATTAAAGGAACGCGGAAACGCGCCGCCATAGAAGCACTGCGGCTTCATTTCTCCTCTCCTTACCTTTCTTCAGATCGACCTTGTCCGTCGCTTGTACTCGATTTCCGCGCTTTTGATCGCTGCTGCTGGGGGAGGGGGAGACCTTATGGATGAAGATATGAGTCCGAGCTCCTCTGATCTCAGTTGCGGTAGATAATTTGCAACGACTGCGGGGAGGCGGGGAAGTGCACTGGGCCTGCGTTGGGGCTTATGGGAGGGGGGAGGCTTTCGTCGAGAGTGATAGTTATGCGATTGCCCTTCTTGCCAGCTTCACGGTTGGTCGAGGGGGGTAACTCGATGGGGCTTATTCTTGACACGAGGAGTTCACACTACTTTTGGATCTGTAGCTTATGGAAAGCGGGGCTGGATCACACTGCTGAACTGCCGGGCACAACACTCTGGGCCTCCTGCCTGTTATGGGCAGTGCCTATGCCTGGCGGGATGCGGTTGAGACGGCTCAGATGCTCTGTCAAAGGAGCCGGATTCTCTTAAGGAGAGGGGTTTTATATGATGATTACCAAATAGAGTCAAGCACTGAGGGAGACCGTGTAAAAAGCGGGACTTCCGATGTTGACACAAAATGCGTTATGGTATCTGATAAAAACTCTTGTCTTGGGACGTTCTTTTGCTCTAGATTGCTTTTTTTAGAGCATATTTCAAGCATATCTTTTGAAATGCTGTGCTCACGAATACATAAACAAATTAAACCAAAAAATAACTGCAAGACCCTTATTTTAAACACACTTGCAACTCCGTCGTGAAACCATGCCAATGCTCCTTATCATGACCTGGATCGATGGGATGCGCCCAGTACGCCTAGTATCCCAATAGATAGTTGTTGATATGCGTCACATCAGACCTCCCAAAACGACCTTTCCAATGCTCGCAACCTCTCTCTTTGCGCCAACCCTGCAACTGTCCTCAAACTCCTTCACCACGCCCTGGACTATGATCTTCCTGACCCTGCCATCGGCTTTGGAGAACATATCGGCTATAAGCGTATTGCAGTCCTTCGGCGAAGCTAGCAAGCTCATAAGTCTCGTATAGCAGTCGATCAAGACATCACATAGGGTTGCGAATGTCTCGTAAAAGTCCGGTTCGAAGGGTAGCGAGGGCGTAATAAGTAAAGTGTAGTCTTCGCCAGGAAGCAAATCGTTTTCACTCGCGGGAAACGATGCAGCGACAATACCGGTGGTGGACATGCCAGCGATTGACTTCAGGTCCGGTTCGCTGCCCATTGGCAAGCCAATATCTGCAGCTGAGCTTGTCCGCCTGCCCTTGGAGTTCGTTGAGATCGCCGCACGCTTGAACATCTGCGGTAGCCGTCCTCGTGATAGGGACCCAGAGGAACCATCTGGGGGATGTGCTAGTTGATAGGACTCGAATTCTGCGAGGAGCGCGTTGAGACTCCTCAGGAACTCGACGGCATTGGAGGAATTGAGGTCGAGTATTGTAGGCAGTGACACGCCCAAAAGTAGATAGTTCGTGGCTCGTCTGGCGAGCTTCTTCTGGTCGAAATATGGCATCCGGGCCAGGTCGGCCTTGTTGAATAGTAAAGTATTGAACCAGTATACACTCCCCTCATGACTACATAGTGTTAGCATACATCTTCTCCATTCCCGCAACAGGGCAGTCTTACGCTCTCCTCAAATAGTCCAGCGTAGATATTCTCTTCGATGCCACGTCCTGTATATGCTGATATGTAATATTTTCAACCGACGGACTAGCCGGCGTATTCGAAATAGTCGCAGACAGAGGAGCCATGCCATTGGCGCCCGCCGAGCTCCCCGACCTCTGCTTGATCTCTCCGCCCTGACTGAACGGCACGGTAATCATCTTGCTAAACGCCGCGGTGGAAGACCACGACTCTCTCTCCGACGCTGCGACGCCGGCGACTTCCCCACTGCCGCGGCCCTTATCGCCCCTCAATTGAAGCGAAGCGATCGAAGCCTTGCGGCCGTTGGCGGTCCTGACGGGGACGGGGGGTTGTTGTCGACTCGAATCCGCAGTGATGAAGCTAGGTACGACGAACGCGGTGGTGAAGGATGGGGAGCGCGCTGCGGGCGTCGGCGGCTTGGGAGGCGATCTCGTGAGTCGCGAAAACGAGGGTTTGCGCGAGTGGCCCGAGCTGCTGGTGGCCGTCGAGGCGGTGGTGGTGTTCGAGCCCGTCGATGACTGGGAGGTGTTGATTGTTCGCCCGGAACCGCTGCTGCTGGTGCTGGGTCGCGTGGATGTTGGCGTCTTGTTCCCGCCTCCGAATATGGCGCCCGTCCTGGAGAAAATGCCGCCACTGGCTTCATCAGGGAAGAATGCCTCTAGGGATCGCTCCATCTTTGTCTGTGCCTAGACCGTGGTGGTGCTGGTTGTTTGTCTAACCCAATCACCGCGAGTGTTTGCCGTTGCCAGGGGGTGGGGTGGTGGTGATCGGCCCTCCTCTTCTTTTGGACCAGCTGCTTTCTGTGCCCCGCCAGAATATCGTAATCATAGAAAGGTCGTAGGGGAGGGAGGCATGGTCTGTATAAGGGTATAAGGTATACATAAGTGTGATTATGTATGTGATAGGGGCATAATCGTGTCAGGGATCATTGTGGCTTCCCTTGCTTGTCCCTGCCTACTCGATACATTATGTGTATCTGAGGCTTCGAGAGTGTCAGGTACCAGGGCGTAATTGAGTAACACTGTAACACCGAAGCGCCTAACAGCCCTCGGATAGCAGGACGAAGGATCTGAGGCGGCCAGGCACGAACCTATGACATGCTTCGATGGCGTCGTCGCTGCTAATAACTTCAGCGGTGGGCTGTGGTCGAACGCAATATGCCCTACCATTCCGAGGGAAGGAAGCCTCTTGCCTTGCTCTGACGGCCGCTGAAATGGCCACCTACACCACTGTACTTGGTCTCGGTTATACGCTGTACTGCACGACCTGCAAGGCTGAGCGATATCCCACTCCACACCGATTACCCCTCCTCCATCCATCCCACTATCAGTAAATAAACTCCCACTTCCAACTCCCCAACCATGAGCCGAACCTCAGAACCTCAATCCCCCCCCGGCGATGCCGCCCCCGAGATCCTCGATGGCAGGATCTGGGTCGACGGGTGCTGGGACTTCTTCCACCACGGTTCGTAGCCCCTTAGAGCCCTCAATCTTCCACCCGCTCACAACTTTGTAGGCCATGCCGGCGCAATGCTACAAGCGCGCCAACTCGGCACCGAACTCGTAGTAGGCATCCACTCCGATGGAGCGATCCTCGAGAACAAAGGCCCCACGGTAATGACACTCCAAGAGCGCATCGCCGCCGTCGACGCCTGCCGCTGGGTCACCGCCTCAGTCGCCTACGCGCCCTACGTCACTTCTCTCCCGTGGATCTCGCATTACGGGTGCAGGTACGTCGTCCACGGGGACGACATCACTTCCGATAGTGCTGGGGAGGACTGTTACCGTTTCGTCAAAGCGGCGGGACGGTTCAAAGTCGTCAAGCGCACGCCCAGTATCTCGACTACGGATTTAGTAGGCCGAATGCTGTTGTGCACGCGCACGCATTTCATTAAATCCCTCACCAACCTCCTAGAGGGCAAAGAGGGCTCCGGAAGCGAAGCAGAGAGAGAAGCAGAGGGGAAAGCAATGACAGCGCGCATGCGCCTCTACGCCACCGACGCCACGGGCCTCAACCCCGGCGCAGACGTCTGGTTCTGGACCGCCTCCGCCAGCGCGCGCGAAGACAATACCGCCGAAGAAAAAGGAACATTCAGCTCTCTCTGCGCGGGCCTCAAGCCGCAGCCCGGGCAGCGCGTCGTCTACGTCGACGGGGGCTTTGATCTCTTCTCCTCGGGCCACATTGAGTTCCTGCGCTGTGTTATTGAGGCCGAGGAAGCGCGCGGGCGCGAGGAGGGCTGGTATAACGAGGAAGCTACGTTTGAGCGGACGGGGAGGGGGGGGGATTATGGACCGGCGTTTGTGGTGGCGGGGGTGCATGATGACGAGACGATTAATCGGTGGAAGGGGGTTAATTACCCGATCATGAATATCTATGAGCGCGGGCTGTGCGTGCTGCAATGCAGGTACGTATCGGCAGTCGTGTTCGGGGCACCCTTCACGCCCACGGCGGCGTACTTGTCGTCGATGCCGTGGGGCACGCCGGACGCGGTGTACCACGGCCCAACGAGCTTTATGCCGTTGACGTATGATCCGTACGCGGCAGCGAAGGGGATGGGGGTGTATAAGGAGATTGGGGAGCATGTGTTTCAGCATGTGAATGCGGGGGAGATTGTGGGGAGGATTATGAGGAGTAGGGAGAGGTATGAGGCGAGGCAGAGGGCGAAGGGGGAGAAGGCTGTGGGGGAGAAGGCGCAGAGGGAGAGGGAGGTGTTGGAGGGGGAGCAGAGGAAGAGGGAGGAGGAGAGGGCGTAGGGACTGGTGGTCTTGGATTGGGGGGGTTGGATAAGGTAAATAGATTGATGGGTTGGAGGTTAACATGGTTAAATAAAATGGGGTGCGGCGTTTCAACACGTGCGAAAGATACCCTTGGATTATAGAATTTAACATGGATTGGAATTACCACTTTCACTAATTGCCAACACGTTTCACCATCAAAAAGTAGTTTTAAAAACTGTTTTATAATCCCGAGTTTAAACCTCATTGTTATAATACACCACCCCACTAGTCATCTACAAAAAACCCCCATCCTCTCCTTTCACATTAAAACAACGAACCCTCTAATCGAAGGGGTTCGTGCGGGTGCCCCACCAGGTAAGGAACAGCGAGAGACCAACGGTCTCGAAGACGCGGGCGACGGCGCCGACGGCGACGGTGTCGAGCGGCCTCTTCTCAGTGAAGATCTGCGCGATGAACTGTTTTACCATTAGCTTTCATCCCCCATCATTCCTAGGACCCCTCTTTCTCTCGGAAGAAAGGGAAGAGAGAAGAAGAATAAAACTCACCGAAGGCGCCGAACTAGCAAAGAAAATCAAACTCCCCAAATACGCCGCCCCCTTATAGCTCAGCGTCCCCGTAGCATTGATGAGCGCGCCAACACCGTACGTCTGCAGCGCCGAGCCCACGACCGAGGTTCCCCATGCGGCGGCGGCCGAGGCGGCCTCCTTGGACTTGATGAACTCCTCTTTGGAGTTTGCGGCTTGGGCGCGGTGGTAGGTGTCGCCGAAGACGGGGCCGAGGATGGCGAGAGAGGCGGCGTGGTTGAAGACTGTGCCGAGGGCGATGGCGGAGGGTTTGACGGGGGGGAGATCTGGGGGGGTGGTTGTTAGTGAGGTTGGGGATGGGGGTTAGGGTGGTTGAGAGGTGATTGAGGTGATTTAGGTGATTGAGAGGTGATTGAGAGGTGATTGGGAGGTGGTTGGGAGGTGATTTGAGGTGTTTTGAGACGGGGATTGGAGTGGTGATGGTGTCACGTCATTGTTGACAGTGTTTGGGCATTGTTGTGCTGATGATAACTGTGCTTGTGAAAATGAGAGCGGTGATTCAACATACAGTGAAGAGACATGTTGATATCGAACTTTCAGGATCTACTTTAAAAGATTCCACAGGTGTATTGATTGATGAAGTAGGAAGAAACCCCAGGAGTGGGCGGGCGACCAACCTTTTAAAGGCCCAGTGTGTGTGTGCTCGGGGGGGGGAGGAGGAGGGAGCGCCTTGAAGAGGCGATGACGATATTGGGGATGGGTGGAATATGGACAAAGCTTGATTGGGTGTGGAGCTTAGGTGGTGGAGGTTACTTGGGTACTTGGGGGTTGGGGGTTGGGGGGTACCTTTCTTGCTCGTGAGAGGGTGTTGGCCGTCGTTGCGCTGGCGGTGAATGGGCGGCCAGAACGCCGTCGCCGTCGTCGTCGCGAGGTTTATACATACTGCCTTTGTATAATCCGGCATCTCAACTTCACGACTTTTATATACTCCATATCCCCATTAACACCCATCCCAAACCCCATCCTCCATCTAAATTCCCGCATCCGCTAAAACACCGCTCGCTGCTTTTGTCTCTGCCCCCCCCGCCAACAACAACAACAACCATGATGTGCTCCCAAAACCACTACGTCATAGTCCCATTCCTATTGGCAGCGCCTAACTTAACCCCGTCCTGGCCTTAGCCACCTTGTTCCAGCCACTTCCGTCGCTTTTTAACTTTGAACCTGTTTGAGTTTGCCTAGAATGGATGAGTGGGGAGGGGAGGGGGGTGTTGCAAACAGGGGCCGGGGTGGGGGGGATGGACCGAGGATGAGCTTGAGGTAGGTGAAAGGGTTTTAGACCACAGTAACTTAAGGAGAGGGGAGGGTTGTAAGAAGAGATCCGCGTCGTTGGACTCCGAGAGGTTGTAGATGTGTAAACCAGTGTCGCATTTTACAACCTCACGACCATCACAACTAACACGACTAATACTCCTACTATGATCAAATTCCTAACTTTCCTTAGGATATAGATAAGATGGGATTTTTAATTAGAACTATAGAGAGCACTTGAATTATTATGGATTCTACACTCTATACGCGCCATTAAGCACATTAAAGCTAGCAAGAATGGATTTCTATAGTTGAGTGCATTTGCATAGATGGCATAATGTAAGGCTAGTATGTGATGGCCATCATGTAGGCGTCTACCCCACACTTCGGGGTGACAAGACGGGCGATTTCCTTGATTGAAAACCTTAATAGTATAAGAACCTATACCCCAAACCTCAACCCCTATTCAATTACTTACCGGAATTTGTGAACTACCCGCCCTGGAGTTTGACTACCCCGTTATATGTAAAGACCGTATAAGCCACCGGTAATATCGGCGCCGATGACGACATTGAACAAGTAAGGCTGCTGCGCAAACAGTAAGGATCAACTCTAGCTCTTCAGTATCCGACATTAGGTTATATTACTATAACCTCCTTTATTTTTACACAATAAAGTAGCTACATCGCAAAGATATTTTATAACGAAAGTGGTGGTCGAATAGGGGTAATTTGCAGTGGTGGCAGTCGCAAAATGGTACATATAGGTACTTCTATTTGCGTATCTTTTTGTATGGCAATAGACGTACCGCGATGTATCCTTTTCCGGCCACTATCACCTCCCCCCACCTGCCCAGTTCCAAAGCACTTACTGAAGTAGAAAAATTTATCAAAGGCCAGTATTTTACAGAGGGAACAAAGGGCTCTAGTCACATAGGGGATTACAAAGGGAACGCCGTAGGGGGTATGACCGGAAGGGGAGAATTATCTAATGACCGATCATAATCCAACTTTTCTACACTGATCAATACAGTCAATATCACCAAACTTTTGATATTGCCTAATTAGGAGGTATGGTAAGTACTAAACAAGGATTCTATTGCTCTAATACTAATATAATCTAGTAGTACTCTAGTACTGCTTGGCATCACCAGATTAGGCAGTGTCAAGCCGATGACTGTCGAACACTGTTGAATTGCTCTATTAGATACCTGTACTAGGGAGGTGCAGAGTCAATTCTAGGCACGGACTACCAAGAATATCCTCTTCGGGGGCTTTCTCAAGTGCGTCAGGATCAGACGAGAGACAACTTACAACCTAGACTTCAGGCTGCTATGTAATGGTGGGTTGTCATACTGACATTCGTTGCACTCAGTTTGCTATCAAACTCAAGAGCAAACTTAGAAATCTCCTCCTCAAACCTGTAAGGATGCCTCCTTACCTAGATACTCGAAGAACCTGCCTCAGAGCTGTTACGGTCACTACAAGCATGAAATCCGACTCAGTGTGGTTTCGAACCATGTAATGGTGGGTGCATCAGATGTGAGAATCTAGCCACCCAAGGAAGGGATGAATTTACTACGACAACACACTGTCTTAGGAAACAGAGCCAAAGGGTTGTAGCTTAGACTATTCCACAACGCAGCAATCAGGTGTGTGATGTAGTGAAGTGGTTCAGACAAGTTGCAACAAATGTTGAGTCTGGGAACTCAGGGGTAAGTCAGAGGTTAACACCTCACTGACTTTTCAGAAACAAGGAGTAACAAGATCAATGCTTGGAAGCTTGGAAAGACATAGAAGTATGTGATAGTCGATTTACTGTATTGTCTGCTTGCCCTTTCTTAAGGAAAGGGCAATCCTATTTATGCTAAAGGAGTGTAGTTCTCTCATTTTCCAAGACTTTCCATGAATTACCAGGCTTGGTAACTGTAGTCGACGTAACAGAATTCCATAGAACCATCTCTTAGGTTCGTAGCCTATAGGAAGTAAAAGGAGGTCCAAGGTCAGAGTACCCCTATAGACAAATTATGTCATAGACAAATTATGTCATAACTTAATCAATCTTGTGGGTAACTAAAGAGCGATGACATGTAATGAATCATAGAGGTTCGTAGGAGCTTTTAGAGCTATCGTTTATGCTCCTAGGCCTCTAGTTGGTAGAGATATGTCATGTAGTATGAGTGATGTCATGTAATGAATCATAGAGGGTTGTAGAGATATGCTATGTGGTAATATCGGCCCAGTAACTAAGGAGCGATGACGTGTAATGAATCATAGATGGTTGTAGCAATCGTTGAGTAGTATTGCTCTTGTTGTTGGTGTGATAAGCCAAAATATGTATAGTGACTTGTAGGTTTGAGGAGGAGATTTCCAAGTTTGCTCTTGAGTTTGATAGCAAACTGAGTGCAACCAATGTCAGTATGACAAACCAGCAGAGGAGCACATAGCGAGTTACACTATAGTGGGGGACGGTAAGGGTGTAGGGTTCAGGGCCAATGCAGACCTGTTGCGGTGGAAGGTTCAGGGCTAGGGTTGGGATAACCGAGTCGGGCCCGTTTCGGGTACTTAAGGAAACAGACTCAACGGGGTTCCCCCTTCATCTTTTTTGCATCCTTCGTAATAGACCTATAGGATAGCATCCGTTTAGCCAAGACAACACACTGTCTTAGGAAACAGAGCCAAAGGGTTGTAGCTTAGACTATTCCACAACGCAGCAATCAGGTGTATGATGTGGTGAAGTGGTTTAGACAAGTTGCAACAAATGTTGAGTCTGAGAACTCAGGGGTAAGTCAGAGGTTAGCACCTCACTGACTTTTCAAAAACAGAGAATAGCAAGATCAATGCTTGGAAGCTTGGAAAAGACGTAGAAGTATGTGCTAGTCGATTTACTGTATTGCCTGCTTGCCCTTTCTTAAGGAAAGGGCAATCCTATTTATGCCAAAGGAGTGTAGTTCTCTCATTTTCCATGACTTTCCATGACTAACCAGGCTTGGTAAATGTATTAGAAATCAAGTGCGACCCACAACTAGCTTGCTAATCATGTAGCGAATGTAAGAGAATCCCATAGAACCATCTCTTGGGTTCCTAGCCTATAGGAAGTGAAAAGGAGGTCCAAGGTCAGAGTACCTATAGACAAATTATGTCATAACTTAACCAATCTTGTGGATAACTAAGGAGCGATGACGTGTAATGAATCATAGAGGGTTGTAGAAGCTTCTAGAGCTATCATTCATCTTCCTAGGCCTCTAGTTGGTAGAGATATGCCATGTGGTAGTATTGGCCCACCCCCTTAAGGAGGAGATTTTCTTAATAACTTGTTCAATGAGTGTCCAAATGATATGCCGTGATGT